CTCAGAAACAAGATAAAGTGAAGGAAATGATAAGATGAAAGTTCTGCAAGTTGGAAAGTGAACAGAGGATGACAATCTAAGTAGCTGTCTTGTTCTAAAACCAATCTCTTTGGTTTGAGTAGTGATGAGATTCCACATATTATACTCCTAGGTACGGAAAAAAACACCAGAGGGGACTCCAGTGAAATCCCACTCTTCCCTTAGACATGGAGATCTGCATTTATACAGCTCAAAGATGGCCTTTGGCCTGCCTCAGTAAATGCCACCCTCAGTAAATGCCACCCCCAATCACTGGTACTTTTATAAATATGCAACACTGAATACAGGTCTACTTAAAGCAGGCTAAGAGACAGGGAGAAGTGAAGGGTGTGGAATACTATTAAATTCCTATAAACTTACCTAGCGACCACTGGTTGCTCTAGGTATTAAACATGCATATCAGAACAAAAGCAATTTTTCTAAAGTATAACTTCAAATATTAAAAAAGTAAGAGTTAATTTTTCTTACTTATAGTTTTAGAGGCTATATCTGGGGTTTTTTATCATTTAAAAGAATCTATCTTCACCTGAAGAATATTGGCTTTATGGAGCCATGCAAATTTTATTAAAAAAATGTAGTAGAAGTAGAACATGTGTTTATTAAGAATTATAAAATATTAATAATAGTACTGTTGTATAAATACTAGCTAAACAAATATTTATACAACATAGTGCTGCTGTATAAATAGTAGCTAAACAAAAAGAAATAGGACTTTAGAATAATTATTCTTCCTCAATCTGACCAAAGGACAGACATTTTGCAGTTAATCAAACAAAACCCACAATAAAGAGGTAATTTTATAGAGACAAGTATTTCTGAAGATGATTTTCTTTACTCCATTCAAATACATTATAATTTTATTTAAAATTATGACAAAAGTTTGCAAATACTCTATTCCTTTTCCTTTCATTGCAACTTTAATTCTGAGATTGACAACTAATAAGCTATATAATTTTATTTTTCCAACTAAAACCCAATTTTCTCAGTTATCTTTTTTTTAGGAAATGTAATAGGATCATTAGACAAAAAAACAGATATCCATTTATTTCAGAAACATGTATTATTCTGATTTTTTTTTAAGAATCACCTACTTTAACTATGCCATTTAAAATACACCAACTCAGGTATGATTTTGGCATTTCCTTGTAACCCTTGCCTACTATGAAAGGAATAAGAAAACTATTAGCAGAAGTGCAAATCAATAGTAAGAAGAAGTTTAAAATATTTCCACCTTCAATAAACTATTAATTGCAATGCACCCTTATTTCTATTTGCATGTACTTAGGAGTATTTCTGAAAGATGGGTTAAATGGTCCACTAATTCCACCACACAGAAGAGGTGTTCACAAAATAGCCATACTGACCTAATAGGACTTTTATAATAATACTCAATCTGAAAACATTAACAATATATCAATATATAAAAAAACTTGCCTACAATCTGCTGATACAAATATCTACTTCCAGTTTAAATGAATAAGAGGTTAGACTGTAATCAAATAACATCTCTGATCAGTACATTTTTAAATAATCTTGTGAACTATTGCTTCATAGAATAGTTCCTGAGAAAAAAAAAAAACACAAATTTGCATTTTATCAACAGAAAATGGGCCACCAAAATGTCATTATACAACACTGATGACAGTTTATCTTCTATGTTTCCTCCTTCCACAGATTTTCATCATTAAGAAATGAAATTGTCCCCAGGAATCAAAAGGTTTATGATATGGGAAGCAGCTTAAATATGAATTCTACTCAGCATATCTCACGGGAATAATATCGATATCTCAGCAGAGTAAACATTTATTGGTATATTGCATATCTTGAGGACCAGTGTCTTAATTTCAAATATTTCAATCCCATTCTTTACAGAGTCATCTCATCTATTTTAATGTTTTTCTAAGGTGACAGAAAGGCCACACGCTCCAGAAAATAAGAAAAGCCTTGATTTTATGCTTACAAATTAGGTGAAAAAAATGAGTATCTGGCTAAAAACATATGAGATTAAAACATTTTGGAAAATCAGCAATTAAACTAGTCACTGTACTAATTAGAAATGAGCAATAATTGATAAAAATTCATAATTAGACACAACCTTAGCCACATCAATTTTATGATAGAGGCATGCCAATCAGTGACTATTTAGAAATAGAATTTTCTTAAATTTCCTAAATAGCTGTACAAAAAAAAAAAAAAAGAAAAAAAAAAAAAGAGTAAGGGAGAAAGCACAGAGAATTAGAATGCATTCAGCATAATGTATCATAGTACTAGTAGCCAAATAAGCTCCTTTGCAATAGGAGAATCCACCAATACATGTACCTAGTATCATATAAATTTACTGAAATTGATCCACTTATCCATTTGTCCATCATCTGGATTTTTAATTACCAGCAACAGCTATAAGGAAATCCACCTTCTCACAAAGGATGAACCAATGAACCAACAGACAGCTACATACAGTGCCTTCAGAACTCCTTAATCTTTTTGCCCCCACTTTATTCGCTAGGGTTTAGACAGCCAAAATGTATACAAACAACAAAAGCAAAACCTCTACAAACAAGCAACAGTCATATCAGCATGAAAAAACACCACAGGAATCCTCCTAGAATCCTGATCGATACCCTTCCTCTCCAACTACCACACCCTGTGTTTACGTTATTTGAATGGCTTTAATACAAGATATGAAAAAAGCACTAACATAGACTTACATTGTTAAACTCAGCACAGGGCTGCTAATATTCCCATCTTTAGACCTCCTTAACTGTCTATGTTGGAGAAAAATGATACAGCTTCAGAACTACAAAGGGCAAGTTATTTTGGTCTTTTTTCTTAACTGCAGGATACCCAAATCCTGGTATTAGTTCACAGTAGAAGGCCAACAGAGTATTAATCACAGTACTTGTGGACAGCTGCTTAAGCTAACAAGATTCTCTAATACTTTGTATTTTTTCTCCTCTTGCTGCTACTAAGCAGGGTAACACTTCTTCCTAAAGCCCTTTCACAGAATGTCTGGATTCTAGAACAGTAACAAAGATCTGATATCTACTGTAGTACCAAACCATGCTGTTTCTATGTAGCTGATCACACCTTGTGTTGCTCAGCCTATGTAGGTGTTATTCCTACTCTCCGAAGAGGGAATACAGAGCAGTTAAAACAGTTTTCAGGAATATTCTGTTTACCGAAAATGAATAGTATCACTGTTCTGATTCGTACATATTAGCTACTGTCAAAAACACTACTTTTCAAGAAAAATAAGGAGGTGGCACAGTAGCTGACGAGTCAATCATTTTAAGTGCTGATCGGAAGAAAAAATCCCAAATCCCATTTTGAGTGGGCTATTTACATGTATATGCATATAGTAGGAGTATGAACATACTGATGTAAGTGCACTCTTCTGTGTGGCCTGTTATATAGCAAGATAGACCACACAGCAGCTCCAATGAAACACTTCCTGGAAAGGGTGTAACCTCTAATGGAACTGCTGGTGCCTTGATTGCATATAGAAGGAACAGAGGCCATCTCTTTTAATTTTGGGCTTTTCAGTGGAAGGTAGAAGCTCAGGAAAGCACATCCTTTTATTCTACCCCCTAGCAATTTTTTTTTTTTTTTATATTTGTCATGTGAAGGCAGCTGTTGTAGTTCTGAATGGTAAGTTTAATGCTATATCATTATTTTAGGGCATATACATTTGTTTGAGGTAAAATCTTACACACACTTTACATTGTAGATCTGTTGATCCCAGATGTGTCACTGTAAAAAGTGGGGTAAGGCTTCAGAATTATTGTGTTCATGCTTTACAGGTTATGGCTTACCTCTATGAACACTACGCAAACTAATTTTCACTTCCATTCCCCTAGTGCTGTAGTTTTGACTGAAATAAAGACTGCATGGCTCATTTTCATGACAAAGGCACAGAAAAGCTGTGTGCTTCTTTCTGCCCCCACCACCACCACCCAGCACTTGGCAAGCAATGCAAGTTTAGATCCGATTATTTTTGAAGTGTTTAGTGTTGAAACGTTTTTCTTTTTATATGAGAAGTTTTTCTTTTTAAATGAGAAAGTCTTTTGAAAGAACAGTATTTTAAAACAGCAGCATGTAATAAAAACACACTGCAGTTCTTTGCTTGGCAAGGAAAGCTAGATAGGAAAATGCTTAAGAACATTCAAAGCATTGCTGTTTACTCCAGCAACTATAGAATAGGACTTGCAGAACCTTATATTTTAGACTCAAGAGACTGGACAAATGACGAATAAGTAGATTATATTCTTGCCGTAATTTTTCTTCCAGGTATGTTCAGAAGCACCTGCATGTACTTCGAGCTGCTCCCTAAAAGGGGGGGCTATTCTGGGTTTGCTGTGCAGAAGATAAAACAGTGCCTTCACCGTGCAGCACTATCACCACCCCCGTAGACCCACTTTAATGATGCACATACTGGAGTGTGTGCACATCAGCGAGCACATCCACCACAGCAGCGGACACAGGTGGGGAAGCATCTCTTCGCTGGTAACAAAGGACTATTCTGTTTGTGTCACGTCTCTCGGAGCCCCCGGAGGACTCCTGCTCCCATTGCACGGTTCCCCGCCCGGCGGGGAAAGCTCTTCCCCAGTGAAGCTGTGATGCTGGGGACGGCATCCCGTTCCCCCTGCCCACCACTGGGGCAGCCCGACACCCCCCCCTTCACCACCCTCCGCTGCCGGGCAGGCAGAGCTGTCCGCCGCTCGCCCAAGAGTCCTCGGGCGGCCGGAGACGAGGCCAGCCGGGGTGGGCGGCGGCGCGGAGCTCTGCTCCGCCGCCTCCCGCCGCTTCTCGCCCCTCCACAGGCCCCGCATCAGGAGGCACAGACCCCTACGACGCGGGGATCCTCTTCGCCTCCAGATGCCCTCTACGAAACTTGTTCTGACCTCACGGGCGGGCTCCCCGCGGCCGCCCCCGACGGCACCGGCAGGGCTCCCGTCGCTTACCTGGCAACTGCCCGGGCGCTCCTTTACGGCGAGCGGCGGGGGGGCGCGCCGCAGCCAAGGCTGCCTCTGCCGCCACCTTCACAGCCCCCTCCCGAGGTGAGCGATGCGCGGGGTGGCGGCGGGGAGCGAACGGGGAGCCGTGACATTTAACCGGGGTGCCTCTCCTCCGTGGCGGGCTAGGCGGACGATTACCGCCCTCCTCTCCGCGGGCAAGCTGAGGCGCAGGACGAAGCCCAGTCCATCCCCGGAGACTCAGACGCTGCGCACTGTCCGAGCCGCCTGCGGCTCCACTCCTCTCCTGTCCTCTCCTCCCGCTTGGCAATTGTCGCTTCGACTTCCCTGCAGTGGGGGACGAGAGACGCAGCAGCCGCAGCAGGGCAGCGGGGAAGAGGGCTGGGCTGGCCACCCGCCCTCGGCGGAGCCAGGCACCAGGGGGACGAGCAACGGGGCGCAGTGGCGAACGGGCGAGGCGCCGGCGGCAGAGCGGGGAGGTAGCGCCAGCTCGAGGTGAGGGCTGGCGGACGGCGGGGAGGAGGGGGCGCGTCCCTGTTAGAGGCGGAGCGGCTCCTTCCGCGCGGCGGCTCACACGCTGGCGAGTTCCGCAGAGGCGGCGGCGGCACTTCTGGGAGGCAGAGGGGTTCGCGGAGTGGCGGGCGGGCGAGCGAGCGAGCCACCCCTACGCCAGAGACTGCTGTGTCGTGGGCAGACAGCCGCCGGCCTTTATTAACCCTTCCCGTCGTGAGGAGGGAGTGCGTGCGGCGCCCCCACAGCTCCGCAAGAATCGGTGCCCCCGCCTCCCCGACGCGGGCGGCGGCGCGGTTGATGCCCCCTTTTCCACCCTTGCTCCCGCCTCGCCGTGTTCCGGGGAGAGCAGGGCGGCTCCGCGGCGCGGAGGTCGGAGCGCCCGGGCTCCGCGGCGTGCCGCGGTTCGGAGGTGTGTCTCCCCCGGGAGCGGCGGGCGTGTGTTGGAGGGAGACCCGCGCCGCCGGGCGGCCATTTCAAAGGCGGCGAGGTGAGGGGGCACGGGCTCGCGGCCGGAGGGCCCCCGCGGCTCGCACCGGGACCGTCCCGCTGCACGCCCGACGGGGCCGCTCCGGGCACGCTCCAAGGAGAGGCGCCGAGAGACAGGAGGGCATTCTGTGGCGGGGCGACGGGCGCCGGCGCCTCGGGGAGGCTCCGCGGGCGAAGGCTGGCTAGGGTCTGGCGCGGTGCGGCGACAGTCACGGGCTCGACAGGATGGGGTGCGGCTGCGGAGCCATGATCGTCGCCGTCGGTATTGTGTTCTGCAGGCGGCCGCAACTAAGGCTTCCCGCGACCCTGCTGCAGAGAGGACGCTGCCCGCAGCGGTGGTGTGAGGGCGTCTCCAGCCTCCTCGTCGCTTGCTTGGCTTGCGTTTGCTGATGGAAGAGTTGTTACTGACCCCGTTCCTCCCTGCACTTGCGGAAGTTGGTGCTGCAAGGGGTTTGGAGTTGTACCTCACTCTGCTTTCTTTGTACTCTTTGAAATAGTTGGATTTAGCACATTTTTTTAATGGACGACGCGGAGTGTCAGGTTTACATCGAGCAATTCAGGAGCAGCAATATCAGATCTCTAAAATGATTCTAAGAATTATGGGGGGGGTGTTTTTTTGTTGTTTTGGGGTTTTTTTTGGGGGGGGTTTCTGGAGGCAAGTCCTATCCCTGTCTGTAGAAAGCTGTCTGTAGGCTGCAATCCTCAGAAACCTACATGTTCTAAAACAGATGAAAAATTGATATAGTTAAGGAATTTTACTTACCGGTAGGAGCAGTGACATGAAAGTTACAAAGAATCAAATAGTAACTATGGGTTGTACAGCATTTTGTATTATCCCTTCACTTTCATAAATGTACGAATATGTGCACATACACAGTTTTCACAGATTTTTGCTAACAAAAGAAGGTGTGAGGTAAATTAAACCATATGTAACCCAGACATGCAATGGTGAAAGACTCAGAATAAAGGAAATTAGCACAAAGGAAATGTAGTCCTTTATTCTTTTACCACCAACGTCAAAAGTTATGTGTTTGGGGTTTTTGTTTGTTTGTTTTTTTTTTTTTTTTTCAAGCAGCATCCCAAGCACTAGCCTTGGTAGCTAGCCATACTTCGGAAATTAGAAAATTGTTGTCTTTACAGTAGAAGCTATTCCATTTAGCTTTTTTAGCCAGCTTCAGGGTTAATTTCAAAAGGAAGTCTTATCAAGACTTCCTTTTCCTCTTGGCTCCTTCGGTGGCATGAGCCACCCAAATAGGGAGATAAACTAAAGGCCAGCTAGTTACCTTTAGCCATTGATAAATATGAAGTTAAAGAACAGTATCTTGATGTTGCTTCAAAATCTGATCATGCTATAATACACATAATGCACTCATCAATAAAAAAAAAAAAAAGTTGGGAGAACACAGTAAAATGGAACCTGTGTTTTATTTTTCATAAAATAAATAGCCTGTTATCTGAATTCAAAAACAATTAACTCACTGACTTCTTTGAATTAACCTTTATTTATAAAGGACTGACAACATATTGCAATGTTCCTTGAACTGGTCTTGAATACCCAAAGATGGTAATTAATACTGAGTCCCAGCTGTTGCACAGTAGTTAGTTAAAAAAAAAAAAAATCCAGAAAACAGATTTCTGTAGAGTGTTAGTAACACAACTATTCTGAGGAAATTGCACTGATATTCCATGGAAATTTTATATTGCATATAGACATTTTTAAAATTTGTCGGTTCAGTGTAATTTTTCTGAATGTCTATAATCAGCAAGATAAAGTAGTACCTCTACTCTAAGAAGTGTACTGTCAACAAGACATGATTCTGTTCTGAATACTGCCACCTTTAGCATGCTACTCTTAAGTGGAAGACAAAGCAGTATAGCTGTACATAAAGACTGATTTGCTACAAACTAAAAATAGGAACAGGAAAATGCTGAGGTTATCACTGGGACCCTTGGAGTTCTTCTTGAAGAAGGGAGATGCTACAGGTGAAATCTGGAAAAAATTAAAGACTGAAGCTTAAGCAGAAGGGATAACCAAATGGACCTTCATTAAACAATGGAGCGATAGAAAGCTTTAACAACACTCCTGTGTCTCTTCAGTCAAATCTCAGTTATGATGACCAGTTCAAAGTATTTTGAACTTTGAAATTTACGTAATTTGTGAATCATAAAACATACTTTTGCAGTATAATGCCCAGCCTTAGTGCAGCTTGAGAAGCCTACCATTTCCTTTCACTAGTAGGTATTTGTCTTTCAGAAAAGATGAAACAGCATTTCAGAGCAAGAAACCAAATGTTTCCGTACTGCTAGCCATTCAGTCAGGGCTCTATATAAAAATCGAAGCTGATGAGACTTGTTTTTTCCTCTCAGGAGGTATGTGCGTAATGCAATCTAAAAGCATTTTCAGAAGTACCCATTAGCTCTTTATTGGAAAGGGACTTTGAAAGGGTGTTGTACTTCTATTTTGCCATAAGGTCTGAAAAAGAAAGGAAAAAGAAGATCTTTGTCATTAACTCTGAAAAAGTAGTTCCTATAGAAACAAGAATGATTATGTATTTACCTTATGTATTGTAAGTAAGCACTACAGAGCCTTCTTCAAATGAAATTAAATAGTCTTTGAATCACTGAAAATTCAACATGAAATATGAAATATATCAAAATGTTTCAGCTATTTTTCGTTGTCTTGTTAAGTTTTCCTTCAGCCACTGTACTGGCCCTCAGAGGTTTCTGTAGCCAGAATTCAAACAGTGCTGTTCCTATTGGGTTTGGTATCTACAATAAGTTTCTTTCAGATTTTTAGAATCTCTGAAGAACTGGGCTCGCAATGGTGGTGTCATGGTGTTTTTGCCTCAGTATTTAGCATATTACTTGACATCCAGCTAGGATGAAATCATAGGTTGAATCGTGGTTTGGATCTTACCTTTATATGTATCTACAAAGAGAAAAAATACATTAAAGAAATTTTTTAAAAAGAAAAGATTATTTAACATCCACATATGCATATCAGTATATGGTTTAAAGTTTCCAAAAAGTGCTTTCAGTGATAAATGAAACTTCAAATTTTAAGCATTTTCAAAATATGTATATTTTAAAAATGCTGCTCACATACTAATTTACAATTTCTTGTGAAAAAATTTTATTGTGAAAAATTCGTATTCCTTTTATAATATAAGGTTATTCCTAACCCTGAAAGAGAACTCAAAAAAAAAAACTGATGGTCAAATTTTTTGTGGGTTTTTTTTTTTTTTCCATGGCCTACCTCTTACACTGCCACTAGTTTAATTCAAGGCCTAATATCTTCTTAGTTCACCTGCTTTTACATCTCTTCCATTTGACTCTTTGAGAAGCAGTTTGAGTGGAATTAACAATTGTTCTGCTGAATAAAATATAGTCAGTGGATTATAAGGATATCCTACTTCAGTCCTTTAAAACCTGTACTTGCAATGTCTCTGCATGTAGGGTGAAACCTGGAAAAAGTCGCTAAACCTCCAGAATTGAAGGGTGGACACCCTTATGTTGTGTAGCTCTTCTAACTGTGGACAGGGTATGCTGTCAAGCAGGTGTTGTCAAGGAGGTGGGACTGTTGCCATCCGTGCCAAAGTCAACATTCTTAGTTTGCTAAATGAGAAGAGGACCTGTGCTGGAAGTACAACTGCTGCATTTTTGTGCCAAAATAAATACAATTTAGAATTTAGTGGCATGAGATGTGCTGTGGGAGAATCATCATTATCACATATCTCTGAGCTCAAATCATTATCTTTGCTAAAATAGTACTATTCTGCAGTTCTGCATAGCTTTTGTACGTGCTGCAGTAGCTCCTCAGTGGGAATCCCAGAGTTTTTTCTTGCCATACAAGTTTTCACTGCAGTAGACCACCTGCTTGCCCCAAGCACCACTCACTGGGGAAGGAGATTTCATAAAATATGTGTCTATATATCACTACTTACTTAATAAGTAAGTTAGTAAGTTCAGACCCAATAAATAATCTGTTCTGTTTCTTCATTGCAAAGGTGAATATTTCACTATCTTTTACTTCTAATCACCTATAAAGTGTCTCCATTACATTAAAAAGTATTTAGCAGATAGAAATCATGTCTTTAGAAAATACAAATCAGAAATTTAAATTTTAGAGGACACCAAATAATTCTGGATAAGAAACAATCCCTCTTAAATACCAGTAGAAAGATAGCAGTATAACTCCAATGCACAATTACTAAGCATTCAGTTCACAAAAGATGGAAGGTATGCATTTTTTCCTCTCTCAAAAGCTGGAAAGGCCAGAATTAGATGCATCTCTGACTGAGCAGGAATGATACATTTTCTTTTGTGCTTAATTACCTATCTTTTCTTTCTTTGTTCACAAGGAGGGCTGTGGTAAACATAAACTCTCACAAACGTAAAGATATGATGCATTCCTATTCACTGCTCTAGATTACAAAGGATGGACATGGAGGAGCATTATGTACTTCCATTTTGTTTGAGGTTTGCATGAATGTTGGAGGTAGAAAGACTTAGAGAAAAGCACTGAATGTTCTTAAATCACAATCATATGAAATTTAGCTTAAAGAAAACTAGCTTATAATTTTCTTAATTTTTTTTTTATCTTCTTCACTGTTACTTTGCTCCAATTCTATAAGTATGATGTCAATAGCATTAAGATAATGTAATTTAGCAGTGTAAAATAGGAGTATCTCATAGGTGAAGCCAACCTGAATTTTCAAAATTAACACTTTCAGATACAGAACATTTGTACTCTTCTAAAGAACAGGATGTAGCTATTGTTGCTGTTCAAAAGCTGCTCTAAATCATAAAATGTTAGGGCTAATTTCTAGTACTTGTCATACATGTAAAGCAGGAAGAGCAATAGTTTTGTTGACAGATAAGGAAAAAAAATTTACATTGCTTGTCATTTCTTGAAGAAGGACAATGTAAGTGATCAGCCTAAAGCTGATTGTCTATATTATTATTTCCAGCATTTATTTAACATATTATACCTTTTTAAAAATATTGACATAGTTGTCAGTTATCCTATCAATACTCTTAATTAAAATACATGTATACAATTTGAACATGAGGTATATGCAAGAAAACTTGTGAACAAAAGCTAACAGAACATGCCTTGTACCTGCATGAAAGTCCTATGTATGATGGTAGTTAATAAATAACTGGGTCTGTTTCTAGTATTGTAGAAATAAGGGCTCATAGCAAGAATTTATAGATGGTCTAATAAATAAACAAAATTTATTTTCAGTGTGTGTGATTTAAGCCAAGCCAACAACTAAGTACCACACAGCCACTTATTCACTCCCCCAGAGTCAGCTTGGGGAGAGAATTATTAGAGTAGCATTGAGAAAAATTGTGGGTTTAGATAAGGACTGTTTAATAGGTAAAGTAAAAGCCATGCAAGGCAAAACAAGTCATTCATTCACTGCTTCACATCTTCAGGTAGGTGTTCACCCACCTCCAGGAAAGCTGGGCTCCATCACATGCACTGGTGACTTGGGCAGACAAATAT